TTACTCGCGAGGCCGGCGGCGCCGTCCCGCGGCCTGCTTCACCGCCGCCTCCACCTTGTGCGTTTGCAGATCCAGAAGCTGTGCGATCGAGTAGCGTCTTCTACCTTACTGGATGACCGCAGGGATGCCGTGCGCGCACTTAAATCCTTATCCAAGGTACGGCTTAAATTCCGACGGGTTCTTCAAGCTATATAACATGGTTAACATAGCGCTTTAGAAACTTTCTTTGTCTTTCAGACTGCATCATAAACTATAAATTATTTTTCTTACTAGAAATACCGCCTGGAAGTGGGCATACAGGCCATGGAGCACCTTATCCATGTTCTTCAGACAGACCGGTAAGCGCACAGCCAGCTGCCCATAGCAGCCTCCAGGTGATAATGTTGCTCTCACATTGAAACTGGCCAATGCAATCATTTCTCTAACTTCTTATTTACAAAATGAAAATGTGAACTTGACTTGTAATTAGTGACTCTTTTGTTGTGGTAACTTTTTAGGATGATAAAGCTTAATCAGCTCTTTCCTGAGGTGAAAGGAGCAGAAGGGATGGAAAGTAGGGAAGCAAGACAGACAGGAAAAGTAGCTGTCAGGTCATGGTGGTACAGAGATGCTCCTTAATGTTTGTAAGTGGTCTATTTCTGCTACGTTAACTGCAAAGTTAACTAAAAACGGTATATGAAACACTCAAATCTACTCGTTAATAGGAAGTGAACTTCACAGAATGAAATGGATCAAGTCAGGGATTTCTTTTTTTTTTTTTTTTTTTTCTTCCTGTGATATATGTTAAGTGAGTTGGTAGAATGGTTACCATGAGGAGTAATGTAGATTATATTATAGTTATATACTATATATGCTATATAGTTTACTATACTATAGTTGATATACTATATAGTTTACTATATAGTAGTTTATACTGAAGGTTATTGCCAACGCTTGGGTAGGTAAGGATGTCTTTTGCTTTCAACTCAAACATAAACCTGTGTTAAAAGGCAAGGTATAATATGGGCATATACTGAACACTTGCATGGGAATGCAAGCAGAGCAGGAGGGCACCTTCTAATGTTTAGATGAAACAAAATCAACAATGGAGCAGTTGAGTAGCCAGAATGACGACCCATGAGTTTATGGGACGACGGTGTGTTGCTCCACATGCTTATGCAAGAGGAGAAACCTTTCAGTGACTAACTGCCGCTGTTGCTTGCAGACCGATAATACCAGTTGTTGTCTGAAAAGAGTCCTTTTTATTTGCATATTACTTGCTATTAAATTTGACTCTATGGGTTGCATAGAACTTGTGCATTGAGAGCAATCCAAGTGATGCTGGTGTTAGTGCTTCACATGGAGGGGAAGCCCTTCATTAAATGAGGTCAAGGAGCCTGCTTTCATCCACTTATTCTCTTCCGGGGCCAGATCTGAACTTGGAGAAGGGAGGTGGAGCTCTACTGATCTCCTTTACTTTGAGATGCTAAACCAGTCCTTCCGTGCTAGGATCTGAAGGGTTTTTCTCTGTGCTCTTTGGGCTCCGGTTGTCCTCTCTGAGTTTGTGTGCTGGAGCTCTACTTGGATGTGTTATGTGACTCAGCTTGCAGCTCAGCAAGCATTAAATGCACCTTGGTGATTTTTAGGTTTTGTAGGATTTTAGATTTAAAAAGAAAAGGCTCCCCCAAAACACTGATAGCTTAGTTTCCCATTGCACATTTTATAGTGGACCAGCATATCACCTATATAGTGGCTGCTGTGGTTGATCTGTGAGTGGTGTAGCTGTAAGCCCTGTTTCTGATCAAGTTCTGATCAGTGTTGCCTGTGATGTGCCGGCTTGTCAGGCTGGTTGGAGAGTGGTGCTAAGGCTTTAGATGCTTTCCCTGTTGTGAGAGCTCCCTGAGCTCTGGAACCTTGATGGCTGCAGTCTCATGAATGTCGTGTGTTTTGGGGCATGTCAGGTTTTATAATCCTGGGTATACGCCTGTTACAGTGTTTTTTTTTTTTTTTTTCTGGTCCTGAATGTGATCATAGCTCATGGGATTCCCTTCTGCATCTCAACTAAGTAGAAACAGGGCTTGACTGGGCTGTGTCAGGTGAGGCAGGACAGAACTGTTGGAGAAGAGCCAACAGCAGGCATGGGTTGCTCAGTTAGGAGAGCCTGTGTGTGTACCTTAGAAGGCAGTCCACAGAGTACCCTCATCATGAGGGTCAGAATAGTGACAAGTACAAACAAGTTATGCTATTAAATATTTACAAAAAAATCAATAGCAGGGCTTTTGTTAATTGTGTTGCCTCTCATTCATGTAGCCCTTGAGTTGGAAAAAGCAGCAGATGGGGGAGTCTCTCTTCATCTTTGTTGTATCCTGATTTTGGTGGCTCACTTGTTCCTTCCTTGGGCAGCTCGTGATAAAGAGAGGTAGTGCATGAGCTCTGTAGTATCTTTCCTTTTCTCTCTTTGCAGTCTCTTTTCAGTGGTAGTTGGTCACTTTCTGTGTAGCGAATTGTGTTTTTCTTTAGTTCTGTGCAAGTCACACTGGTACTTTCTTAATTCTGGAGTTCATAGTGGAAAGATAGAAGCATTTAAAGTTCCTCAGCATCTTACAGCACCTTCAGACCTTGGCAGGAAAAGGGGTTGGCTGACATTGTGGCTATGCTGAAATGGTCAGTGCTTGTTATGTCTGGTTCTTATTTTTATCCTCAGATTGTCCATAGAGGCTACTGGCAGCTTCCCTTTTACAGCTGCCTTTATTCTACAGCAGAAAGGTACCCCTTGTCTTTTAAATGTACATGTTGTCCCACTTGTTATATGGTCTCCTTGCCTTTGTGAGATGTGAGCACTTAATGTGTGCTATAGAAAACTGATTTTTGCTACAGTTTTCCAGCTATGCACGTCAGCTGTCCTGGAGCCTGGTAACATTCCTGAGGCAGCCTTTAAATGTTGCAGAGGCAGACTCCCATACAACCAGTGTTCTTATACCACATGCTCATTTTGTAATATGAGTTAGGACCAGGGATCTACTGAAGAAACATTTATTCTCTTGACTTGCTGTCTAGATATTGCCCCATGCCACTAGGGAGTTTAAAAATAATTTGGCAGTGACTGTAAAACAGGCCAGTGCCACTTAACTGTTGGTGCAGGAGAGGGCACCAGAATGAAAAGTGAACGTGATTTTTCTCAACTTCTTGGCTTTTTCGTAACTAAATTTTTGAAACTTCAGTGTGCCAGTTCTAATCATTTGAAACGTGTTAGAAAAGATTGTTCTGGTTGCCGCACAGATCTCAGTTATTTATGTGCTGTCATTTCCAGAGGTTCACAGCTGTGATTTTCTTTTTACTCTACCTTTTGTGAGAGGTAAGATGCTTTCATCTTTATCTCCTTGGATCACCCTACCATGAGTAGGGATTTTAGTGGGCACAAGTTGTGGCCCTCTCCAGACACGGTATAGAGACACTTCTTCATGCTCAACTTGATGGTAAAGACAAATCTGATCTGTATTGTAACACTGTGCTGCTTTAATTTTTGAAAAGGGGGTAAATGCTTTTTGAGGCTCCCTGGCTGGCCGTGGATGCTTTCACTTCCATGTAATTTTGCTCTGCTATCGTTTAGCAACTCGTGCAGTGCTGCCTTGGCTGTTTGGTGGAGTGCCCCTATAAGCAAAAGCAGCGGTGGGGAATTGCCTCAGGTGGCCTATGCTGGATTATTGCGTTGCAGAGAGGCTGCATCTTTCACAGATGCTCGAGAGACTACAAATCTAATTCCTGGCTGATGACTCTATGGAGCAAAATCTGCATAGTTTCAATCTGAACAGAATATTTGATAAAATAATTTTCTACGTAATGAACAGCAGATGGGAGCAAGCTAGGGAATAGCAGAAGTGGCTACAGTGCTGCTGTCCTCATGCTGTGATGCGTTTCCCTTCAGGAAACGAAAAGGCCTGCTTTTTATGTATCTGTATGAAATGTAATACTTTTTTAGCAGCAGGGATTTTCCTGGTAGGACTAAGGCAAAGAAAAGCAATGCTGATGTTTTGCTTATGTGTTTTTTTAAATTCAGTATGGTTGTCAGGTGTTGCGGTTACATGAAAATGCAGGTTTTGTGGTACTGTTTTGTCCAAAATCGAAAATTATAGTAAGGGTAGAATGGAAAAACATGCAGTCTGGAAATGTGAGCATATATGCTGGATGAGTTCCTTTAAATAGACTAAAGGCTTCTTTCATCTGCTTTGACTAACAGTTTGCCGGAGGAAGTTTTGTTTATTTCCATTACAGACAAAAGCAGGTGGTACAAGCTGTGTGACATACACTGAGCATAAACTGATACACATATGTACTCAGGAGAGCAGCAGGGCAAAGGTTGGGTTTAAAACCCAAGTGAGAGGAGGAGTGTTTCTGAGACCCGATGATTCCAGCCTTGTTTGGCTTGGACTTAGCATGCAGGTCTTAAGGAGGGCACATGTCACTTGGAGGGCTCCCCGAGCCCTTGCTGTAGTGATGCAGGAAAAGTCGGTGTAGATTCCTCCCTTGGTCTCCTGGCTCGCCTCGATAGCAGTTCAGGTTTTCCTGGTTGCACAGTGTAGGCCTGCCATCTTTAATCAGGGCTCTGGTAGAGGTAGCTGGCCACAGCTAGGGCTTGGCTTGTATGCCTGCATGCTAGGCGAGTTGTCTTCAGACCTTTGCTGTGAACGAGCCTCGTAGCTCCTTAAAATGCAAGTTGTCATTTGTGTGGAAGGAAGCCTTGTGTCAAATGCCATGGGGATTAGTGAAAGCAGAAATAGAGGTCCTGTTTGGGCAGAGTGCCCTCTTGAGGGTTGGCCAAGATGTGACAAGGACAGCTTGGGTTTGTTCATTTGCACTGTGCAGGTGCCTTCCTCTCTGTGTGTGTGTTCAAGCAGCTGGGCTTCCATAGCCATCTGGTTTGTGAGGAAACCTTAAGTAAGTGGCAAACATGGTAATGCTTTTTTTCACCCTAAAAGGAGCAACTCTTGCACTGCTTCTTTGTGGTGTCCTAGGATTCACATGTTATTTAGACTTTGTAACAGAAGAAATGAGTGTGGAAGAAATGCGTTTCCTCTGTCAAACCAGGGACTGGCTTATTAAGAGTGTTGGTGTAAGCAGGTTTTCAGGTTAGATTGGCTGCCTGGTAGCTGCTGGGTGAGTTGCAAAGCTCTTAATAGGTGGGTGTAGTCGGTGTCCGTGGCATTTAGACTGGCCTGTCCAGGGGAAGCCACAGCTGTGGTGGTCCCATTTCCCTGGAGGGAGCACTAAAACAGGACCACAGAGTAGCCAGAGAGGTCTTTCCCATGACCATGCCAAGGTGCCACAGTGCCTTCCTTGGGTGATACCCTGGGAATGGATGCTGAATCCCTACTAGGTGGGTGTCTCATACCTGAAGAACAGGTTGCAAGGTGTGACTCGGGAAACACAAGTCATGATTATAGTGAAACTTCCTTTGGTTTTTGTTGTGTCACCAAACTTTCTGGATGTTGCCACCTGAGGGAATGCACCTGGGAGAAATAGTTTGACTTCATTTAAAGACCAGACAACTATGAGTTGGTAAAAATATGATATTCTATAATATGTCAGCATCAGTCCTTTCTTCCTTTCTCCATAATGCTGCAAAGGGAGTTGGCTGTATGGAAAAGCAATGTTATAAAGCATAAACTGTAAGACAATTTGGAACTAAGTAACTCATTACAGTGGTTCTTCTATTCACAGTTCAGATTCTGAAATAATTGGCTATGCTTTGGACACTCTCTACAATGTAATATCGAATGACCTCGAAGAGGAGGAGCAAGGTAAGCGCTTGGCAATATGTGTTATTAACTCTGGGGGTGCTTGCTTTGATGCCTTTGTTCAAATCCTAAACTAACAGTGTGCGATTCACTCAGTGAGACTTGCCTTATGGTTGTGCAGCCGTTAAGATGATCCAGGAAATTGCTTGGGGTAGTTTGTTTTCAAGTAATGCAGGGACATTCTTCTTTTTTTTTTTTTTTTTAAAGAGATCCCTTTTGTGAATGGCAGCCAGTTGAAATGGTGTAGCTGCTCCTTTGTAAATAACGAATCAAGTTCTTTGGCTATTTGAAAAGGATGGTTTGGCCTGTTTCTGTCAAATGATACCAAGCAGATGAAGCCTTGGGTGCCTACAATGAAATAGCTGTATACAAGACTGAGACTCTTGTTTGCTAACCCTGCAACAGCTCTTTGGAAAATAACACTCTTCCTTGCCTTCCCTGGATGATCAAATGAGGAAACAGACATTTATGCATCTGTGTTTTTAAAAATGATTTGAAAAGGCTTATTTCCCTGATATCTTGCGGGCAGCCCGGGGACTAATTAGACTTAAACTCTTAGCCAAGGCTTTTTGAAATGGATGTTGCATGATGAGAAACAAGCAGTGTCTCATCAGGCAAGCTCAGTATCTGTGGATTGACAGCATCCGGCCTCTGGCATGGACCTCAAGAGGCTTACTAGTGTCTTGTTCCTAGTTTGCAATATATATACTGACAGTGCAAATATTCTTATGAAAGGACAGAATTTTCTATTTTTTAGTTTTCAAAATGTAAGATGATATTGCCTGTTGAGTTGCAGTCTCTTGTCTGAAGTTTTTATCCCCAAATCCTTCCCCAAAGGATGTTTAAACAAGTAATAGATATCCTAAAGGGAAAGTGGGCAAGGTCTGATACGTATGTATTTCTGCCAGTACTTTGCCATCAAGTCATGCTGTACATACTTTCACTGTTCCTCCAAGAATTTGTTATCTCTTGCCTCCTGTTGCTGTAAGAAAGACTTGCAAGCTCAAGTCCCTCCTATACTTAATCTTAGATTGACAATTTATTGCTTCGCTTATTTGCCCTTTTGCTTGTTTATACTTTTGCCTGACAGTGAAATAGGATTTGAATAAGATGGAAGTTGTCCTATGCTGGTGTTCAGCCCAAATAAACAGTGCTGGTGAATGCAGGCCCTTGGTAGTGGCGGGGACTCAGAACCCTTCACAAGCATGTTGTTAGCAGTTGCTTGAGAACAGCAAAGAATTGATGGGCTTGTGTGGTCTACGTGGTAACACCAGCGTTCTTCAAGTAAGATGTTGCCCTGTTCAGTCACTTCTATGAGAAATACCTCAAGTATTAATTTTTGCCTCGCAAAGCAATGATGACTGCTTGGGAAGTGCAAGCTTGTGCTACTGTTGTGCTGTTTAGAAAGCTTGTGAACATTTCTCTTTCTCTTTTTTTTTCACTTTGACAGATGATTCTGAAGGTAAAAGAATCTTTACTTATATAAATATGGCACTTGGTTTTAGTCTAGTTACTATTCACACCCCTAACCCTCTCTGCTGTTAACAAGGACACTGTAAAGACTCATAGTAAAGGTTAGGGAATGCTTCTTGCAATCTGCTGTGAAATATAAATTCACTTTAGTGCTAAAGTACCTTCCCACTTTGATTTGTGTTGGATTAGGTAGTTTTCATTCAACTTGGGCGTGTTGAATGTCAGTAGCTCTCCTGAGATGGTAGTAATGAATAATCCTTGCATATCATGTCATCAAAGTGTGCAGCCTTGGTGTTTGTGGGATTTTGATGGGCGGAGGTGGGGTGCAAAGTTACGCTTTTTGGGAAGATGGCTCAAACACATTCACAGAACAAATGTTCTTCACAGTGTCTCTTAAAACCAGTGCATGCTAAGAGTGTTCACTTAAATCATAAGTTTGCCACTAATGCTTGGTTTGTCTTGTTTAAACTACTTTTATCAAAATGCATTTAAAATGCTGTTTTTAAGATGAAGTACTAGTTTGCAATGCTGGGTAATGGTGAATCATCAGGAGCTCAGTTTAAATCTAGGTCTTTCCTCTCATTTGTGAATATGTAGCAGTTGACAATGCTCACGAGAAGACAGGTTGCAAGATCTGCAGGGTAACCATATATGAAATAGAAGATGAACTTTCCCTTTGTTGCTTTGCCTTTTTCTTTTTTTTATTTGCTCCTCCATATTTTTCTTTCTTCAGTTCAGTAGAAGAAGAAACTGCTGATAGGAGGTGTTAGAAAGATGTGGCAACTTTAATTAGGCTTTGTTATAGAGGAGATCCTGAACTAGAGGCAAGCTTTCAGATTAAACAAATTCACCAGAAATTGTGCAAGAAAAAGGATTGGAATCAAAAATAATCCAAAATAGAAACACTGCTTGTTAGTTGGGCTCGAATAAAGGGCAAGATGTGCAGTCACACTTTGTAGCAAATTGGAAGCGAAATATGAAATACGTGAAGCTCATCTCCCTTCAGCAACTGAGTCTCTGCAGAGTTGCCTTGCTTGGTTTTTTTTTTTTTTTTTTTCTCTTTTTTTTTCCTTTTTTTTCCTTTTCTCTCTCCATGCCAAATAGGACAAGAGACCTTGTGAGCCCCCTCAGCTTTAGTTCTGTGTCAGGTTTACCTGGATTCTGCTAGAGACTTTACATTACTCTTGAAGAATTTTCATGTGCAGTTGTCTTCCATTTTGTCTTCCTGTCTTACAGTTCCTTTTGCTTAAGCTGACCTGCTTCTTTCTTGCTCTTGAAAGCTACCTACCAAAATGTCTACTCCATGGGAGAAATATACACTAAATAGGAGGAATGATAAGCTAGTGTCTGACTTGAAGACCAAATAAAAACCTCTTTCTTTTATTGACAGTCCTCTAAACAAAGAAAGATGTTATAAGCTGGCAATGAATCAGCACACAGTTGGACTTGAAAGAAAATTGGATTGGTAGAATTTGTTTTTTTTGGCACCAGCAGAAGAAAATGTTATGGTAGTGTCCTTCCATTTGTTGGTTCTGTCATATCCCAGCAAGGTACAGAGTTTAAAGATTATGCTTGGTCTTTAACTCTGTTGACAGCTGCTTGGTTATGAAAGGTTTGTTAGTAGCTCTTTGATAAAGCTGTGAATTCTGCAGTTCACGACCACAATTCTCTTGTGCTTTCAGTGATCCAAATCAGACCTTTAGTTTGAGCTCAGAAGTTCTTTGGTTTTACAAAGTTTTTTTCTTTTTTTGAGCTAGCATCTAGCAGGGGGTGGTGGTAAGTGCTGAACGCACATGTGAGTTATTTGTCCGGTACTCTGAGTTAGATGATCATCACAGTTTTTCCTTAACTGAAGCCTTGGTCTGACTCCTTAATGGACTTTGTTGGGAGTAAATATAGAGTAGGATGTGGGCAAGTGGTGGCCTGCTTGGTGGGACAGGAGTGGCTTTGAGATTATGCAGGAATAAGGGAAGAAAGAAGCAGGTTTTTCAGGAAGGTGGGGAGAAGAAGCTCTGTAGGGAGAAGGGTGCCTAGCAGGAGTGGGGTATGTCAGTGGATGTGTCCTGTGCCGCTTAGCTAATGGTTAATACACGTGCATTTAGCCCTTGGATTTTTCCATGCTGCTATGAAAAACCTAATGCAAACACAACCAAGCATGGTAGCAACCTATTTTTAAACTCAAGGAGACACTCATTGCATATCAATGATCACTGTGTCAGGTAGGGCTGAATTCCTGTTGCTGTTTGAACTGCTCATAATCATTTGAATAGTAAAGGTCTCAAACTGAAGTAGAGTTAAATGAAATAATTTATTTCTGCCAAAACGGAGAAGATGATGTAAACCCATCTTTAATTTGCTGTCTCTTAGCAGCAGTTTTTCTGTGGACAATTTCAGGGCTCAACCAGGAGTACCTAAATCTGATAGTTTTCCTGAAATATCTTTGTTAAAATTTTCATTCAGCCTAGAAAAACAAATGTTGCATGGACAGGGATTGTGTCTGTTCTCTTGTCTTGTGTGATGCTTTTTGCATTTTTCTGGGCAGTAGTGACACAAGAATTGTGTAAGGCCAAGCATTACCTAGATTCCATAAAATTAGAGAGTAGATAGTGGCACAGATGCTTCATCTTTTTTTGTGAAATCAATTCATATTCCAATATTGAGAGATTTTGATGCCAACTGTTTCAGAACTATTCTTGTTGGTGCTTGGGTCTCTCTTCTAATCCTAAATGAAAAGTAAATCAAGTGCCTTAACCACTTAACTTACGTGCTAAGTTAGTTGGTGGGGAATCAAATATCCTTTGGCAGTGCAGTAAGTACCATAAGGAAGGCTCTTTAGGATAACCTCTCAGAGTTCATTTTGGCTGTGTTCAAATACTGAGTTGTGGAGGTTTTCTGCTCCTCACTTCAATGTGAGGGTTCTCCTTCTCTCTGTCAACTCCTGGTTCACTTCAGAGCATGCTTGGTGTTACATCTTTAACTGGCAAGTGGAGTGATGGCAGGTGTGAATATAAGCATGTATGAGAAATGGAAATAGTATTTTTCTTGTGATGGGAACTGATTTGGGTTTCTGTTTGGTAGGTTCTTGGTTCTGTTAAAATAGCTCTTGGGTTAGAAATACTATCTTGATCATAATGTACACTTTCTTTCTGTTTTTTGGTGTGCAGCTTGTCGTACTGCTTGATTTAAAAACAAGTTTATTAACCTTAGAACAATGATTCTCTAAACCTTGTTGTCCTCTGTGTCCTTAATACAATGAAAATATAACCCACAATTAACAATTTGTTCTAATGATGTATTGTAATGTATTGGTTTTGATTGTTACAGAAGAAAATCTACCAAAGCAAGTGGATGACTTGGGAAGTCAGTTTACAGAGATCTTCATAAAACAGCAAGAAAATGTCACGCTCTTGCTGACCCTTGTGGAGGTGAGTAATGTGTGGCAGCTGGAATACTGCAGGCTGGTAGTGTTGCATGCTGAGGTTATCCTAAGGGGTGAGGCAATAGTTCAGCCTTTCTGGTGAAGCCTAGGTCAAATATCAAGTATTCTCAGCCTCTTTCCAGTGGGTGGGTTTGAGGTGGCAGTGAAGATGGCAGTCTGGATGAAGGGCATTAGTACTACTTCAATCAGGATAATGTGAAAGGGGCTTTAATACATAGTAAGAAGTACTGCTGCAGAAAGTGCAGCTCTTGGCACTCATGCTAAGTTAATTCACCTGATGGTTATTAAGTGCAAATGAGATGAGTTTTGAAGGAAGAAGAGATAGCTAAGAAAACTAGCTGTGACAGAAGGCAGGAAAGCAACTACTGGAGTACATGTTATTGATTATGAAAGAGAAGCAACTCTAGAATAGGTCAGTGTTTTGACTTCCTGTCCATAGTTTGTAATAGATGAGCAAGAAAATAGTTGTCCTGCAGGCTTAAAGACCCATTATCTTTTTGGTCTCCATTCTTAACTAAAATCTAGAGGAGCAAGTTGAATACTGAGGAGTTTGTTACTTAACGTACTCCTTTCCATCTCTGCAGGAATTTGATTTCCATGTTCGCTGGCCTGGAGTGAAACTACTTACATCCCTTTTAAAGCAGCAAGGACCTCAGGTGCAGCAGATCATTCTTGTGAGCCCTATGGGTAAGTGGTACAGCTTACTGCTTATGAACTTGAAATGGGAAGCTCAAAAAAAGAAAATGTTGCAGAAGGCTAGAGGACATGATAGCAAGGTGTTTTAAAGATTTCTAGTGGCGGGGGGGAGAGGGAAAGAAAACTTGCTTCTGTGCTGATTTTAATTACGTATTTGTTACAGGTGTTTCAAGACTCATGGATTTACTAGCAGACTCTAGGGAGGTTATCCGAAATGATGTAAGTACGGAGGGCAAGCTATTAACCTCTTCATAATTAGCAACTGGTGATCAAGTTGCTGTATGCTTGTGCAGAATTTGGATGAAGTGAATGCATGTGAAGAAAGCACCATGATTGCTAATTGGAAATATTTCAGCCTTCAATTGAGTTTGAAGCTGTTGTTGGGCAATGAAGAACTGCGGCAAGCTGTCACTGTGTATTTGATGCATGCTCTGATGGTTGTCTAGACTACTGTCATCTGATGGTTGTCAGCCTTCTGTCAGGTCCACTTCTCTTTTTCCTATTTACCAAGATAAACTCTGCTTTCTAGTAAAGCACTTCATATCTTTTATAATAAGATTTTTTTTATCTGTGTAATTATTTAGTGTCTTTGCTGTTGTACTGTGCTTTAAAGTATGCAGAGGCAAGCATATTCTGTGGTGTCCATGGTGGGTTATATTGCATGTGCCAAATGGCAGGGCACAGGGCTATGCCCTGTGATTCTGGCCAGCACTGCTTATGTAGCATCCTCCAGAAGGCTGTGCGTTTTGAAAATTAGTGTTCTTCTAGTAAAAGAAGGTTTAACTGCTCTTCCCCTGCCCCTCCAGGGAGTCTTGTTGTTACAGCAATTGACTAAAAGTAATGCAGCCATTCAGAAGATTGTTGCCTTTGAAAATGCTTTTGAGAGACTCTTGGATATCATCACAGAAGAAGGAAACAGTGATGGAGGTACAGGAAAATATCTCAGTGCTGCTTTAATCATTGACAGTGTTAATTTCTCTAAGCATACATGCACGGGTCGGTGTGATCCTACCTGGCTCATGTCTTCAAACATAGATATTTTAATGGCAATGTCAGGTCTGCATGTGCCCTCCTTGTCACTTACCAAGCTGAGTGTCTGTGTTGTTCCTGCGGGATCCTCAGATGCTTGGAGTGGCTGGATGCAACAGCTCACTGTCCTCCATGGCTTCAGCTTCATTACTAACTTCATTTTTCTGGTGAGCTCCTTGTCAAATCATTTACCAGTTCCGGAAAAAGAACAGAAAAAGGATGAGCAGAAATTTTGCAGCACTCTTCAAGTGTGTGTGTGTTTATTTTCTTCTGACAGCTTGCTTGTCTCCCAGATGAATTATTCCAGATATCTTGCCATGGAATGATTCAGCAGATCTTAGTTTCCAAGCAGCTATTTTTAGTCGGGTAATAATTATAGAGGAGAAGAAAGGAGACTTGGTATGTCAGTTCCTAAGTGCCAAGAGTTCCTTACTTTCCACCCTCCTCCACATTCACTCCTCTTCTCCGTGGCCCAGCTGAGGGCTGGATTACCAGCTATAGCTCTGTGCAGCTGGGGGTTGGACAGGAATGTGACAGCAACAATTTTTTCTCCCACTCCCAAGTTAAGGTGCTGCCTGTGCCTAGCTTGTCCCAAGCATAAGAAATAAAAAAAAATACCATGAACTTGAAAATGAGTTGACATTTTAGCCAGTGGTTTAGGATGGTGAATGTGTAATCCCGTGTGAATTGCTGTACACGAATCCTGATGCTGTTGAAGAGGAACTGCATTTTAGTTCTTAAAATACAAAGCACTGTTAGTGTAACATGACTCTGAAGTTGATATTAACTCAAGCCACGAAGTTTTTGAAGCTTGTTTAGAAGTGCTTCCCATTCTTACCCAGCTTATGTACCATACAAATGATGTAGTCTTTGCAAATACTGTTTTTGTTAGATTTAGGAATGAACCTCAATTACAGCACTTCATTTCTAAGAAACCTACTGGATAAGCACAAATGTATTGCATTGCTGAAAATGAATTTTTTCATACATGTTCT